CAACTGAGAATAACAAAAATGACAGAGGTTATGGTTTCCTTAACAGCTGAACAATAAGAGTAAAAACTGTGTGACTAACAGTGTGATAAAAAGATACCAGTTGATAAGGGCCATGGTCTTATCTTTAGCTAAAAGCATGGCCTTCCTTGAAACAAGGAAGAGCAAAGCACGCAGCTGTGGACATTGTCGTTGTGTGCTGTGGAGACTATTCTGTTCTAGTCTGCTTACTGGTGTCTGCTGACTCACCCTATTAAAAAAATTCACTTGACACTGTAATAACAAATGCTACAAGAAAAAAGAACAAGATTGAATTAAGATGATTGTCTCTCTTCTGATCATATGTTTCACAAACTAGATGTTTGACAGTAAAGACACTCTGGCACTGATCTCAGTCCTACAGAGATGATTAAGAGCAGACACTCACAACAGTTGTCACAAATATAAAGATATATATAGATATGAACAAATGTCTTGTTGACAAATCCCACAATTTAATGTTACATGGTTAAGATACAGTGATCACACATCTTACAGGGTAAATCCCCGGGCCACAAGCTCTGCTTCCTGGACAAGTCGTAGAGATCGGGCAGTGATACGCAGCAGTCCCTCACAGGAGCTGACAAGTCGGCGGATGTGCTTGGAGCCTCGGGTTAACCTTGACTGATGATGATACAACACAACCCATTTCAAGATCACTGCTACCATGTAACACAGACACAGAAAAGCCATCACATCGGTCAGAGTTGCGGAATTTTCCATGGCATCTCTGGGTGAGCTTACTCGCCCATACAAGTAGGCCAGGAGCAGCAGGGACAATGTACCAAACTGTTGATACAATGGCAAACATTTCTATTTTTTCAATTATTTGCAAAAATTGTCGTTTTTAAGAAAACATGGTAGAAAAACTTTTTTATTAATTCATACCTTAATGATATGAAAATCAATTTTAGAATACCGGGTATCAGCAATTAACATAGCATATTTCTTTGTGATAAATATTTCTTTTCAAAAGACATACAAATATATGTATAAGTTTAATATCATAAAAAGTTATATAATGGCTTACAAAATTTATTGCACCTTCAAAGTGCAGCTGTAAATATACAAGCAAAGTAAACGCCAAAATTTACTAAAATCCCTTCAAAGCATTCCTTCAGTGTGTTAAACAGCAATTAGGATGTACTGTCAGGTGGTATATTTGTCTGATAACATATTTTTTTAGTATTCCAGGGAGTATGCTTTGGATTAGTACAGATTTGTATGCTTACACTGTAGGTCTGACTGTGATACTGTGAGTAAGGGTGTCCCGTATAGGTAACGCTGTATTCAGAAACTCCATATCCTCTTCTGTCATTAGTTTTGACTTCAGTATCAATTTCAAGATTTCTGCATTGTAAAAACGTGTCTGAAAGAAATGAAATATTTTGAGAGAATGAGACACACAGACCAGATATCGATACATTATAAGAAGAGCTTACTACTCCTGATTCCACTTGATAATACATAAAGGTAATATATAGGTCAAAAGTAAAAATATAGGTTAAGGTTTCAGGGTTCAAAATTAACTATATACAACTAGCAAAATGCCAGCTAAAATCTGTTTATTGCTAGCTGGAAAATAATGAACTAGCAAAAATTTTGCAAGTGGAAATGAAATATACCTAATCACTATTTTTGACGAAACATCTGCCACAAAATGCCTTTCTCCATCTGCCTTTAAATGAGTAATTAGGTTAGACAATAGTCAACAGCCACAGCCTGGCCCTTCTGAAAAAAAAATCGTCAAAATCGGAGAGTGTTTCTCCTGACGCTGCTGATACAAAAATCACAACCACGTGCATATACGGCCACGTTAAAAACAGTACGGAAATGGGAAAAAGAATTGAATATTAGTCTAGGATACAGCAAATCATCTAGTAATGATGCAATCAGCCATTCTTATCTAATGTCTTTGACATCTTTTCCAATATCACTCAGTTCCTGAAAAACTCAATATATCAGTAAATGAAAGTCAAACCTATTCACCAAAAAATTGCTAGTTTGTTCATCATTTTTGCTAGTGGAAATTTTAGGCACTTGCCATGGTTTGCTAGTGACTAAAAAAAGTTAATTTTGACCCCTGAGGTTTTCTGTCTTTAACACAAAATACACACCACCTTCCTAATATATACCCACTAAAGATCCTACAAGATACCGCTTCAGCCATGGGAATGACCAATATCTATTACTTGCTGAGGTCAAAGGTTGCAATATTAATCATAATGACCTACTTTTGGTATGTGACAACAATCTTCCTAGGATATAACAAAATAAAGATAATTTATGTGACAAGAACATCTGATATACCTTGGAAGCCGTTTGTTGAAAACATAAGTCACAGTGACTGTTTTATGTATGAAGCACATAGTCTTCTGAGGATGCCTCACAAGAACAATAAATATTGAAAGTCCAATGCCAAAATAGTATGGGAGAGGGCTTTAAGAAAGAATAAAAAATAGTTTTCTTTTCATGAAATTTAAAATACAGGTAACACTGACCTAGTTATGGTAGATGCCACCAAATCTTCATATCTGGTCATCTACATAAGTTTTATGAAATTATTACCTGTTTTGTTCTGTTGTTGTCACATCAGTCCTGTGTAATTCAGTTAAAATGATGTATTGTTGGATCAATAATAACTGTTCAGTACTTTTTGTAGACAATGCATAACTTTACAGGTGTGGTGTAGTAAAATTATACATTTGATTTAATATATAAAGACAAACAAGTTAATTCTTAACAAAAGAAAACCAGAATTTGCAAGTGAACTCTAACATTAAACTGGAAACAATTATCTTTCAAATAAATCAATCCAAAATGACATAGATCTTTGTGTATAAGATAAGGACACCACAACAGAGTATTTTTAGTATATTTTTTTACTTATATATTGATTTTCTTTATGTAGGTGAAGTTTATAGATAGATTTTTCACTAAAAAGGACTTAAATTTAAAACTTACAAACTATCCAGTTTGTTTGGTTTTTACCAAATAAATATTCAATTAATGAGGATCACAACTAACTATTCCTATAACTATATATGATCAATGAGGTGATAGCAACAGTGCGGACATGCAAATTGTCAAATTTCCGAGGCAACCTGCTCCTTTATCAAGAGACAAACATTACATAAATTATATATATATATATCTTATCACAGCATCATCCTTAAACTATTGGTTTCTGAAAATATATAGGTCTATAAAAATATATGTATCCAGGTAGAAGTTTTGGTATAGGTTTAAAAAAAAGCATGACCCCTGATCCCACACATCAGAACTACAAGGTTTTCCATAATTTTGTTAGTAGTAGGCTGTGTAGTGAAAGTAGGAGGCTGGCCTGCTGTGTACGTGTAGTCGTGTACGAAACATTTTTATTGAACTGGATTGGTGTAGGCGGCCAAATGATCAAGGTAGCCGATCAAATTGGCCGGCGACCGGCTCTTACGGAAAACCCTGGAACTAGTACAATCTGATTACCCACCAGTCTCTGTAGGTCCTGTGAAAGTATTGTGAGTCCCAGGAAAGTCATTATAAATCTCCTCATTGATTCCAATGACAGCTTCCATCTTTGAGGTACCTCCTAAATTTAACAGCAAAAGAAAAAGAAGGTGAAATTCAAACATTTATTTAATTAATATTTGGTGTTATTTGCTTTCTGTATTTCTGTTAACATTAGATATTAAGTATATGACAAGCCAATGCAGTGACTGGTAATTATCACATATTTTAAACTGTTTCATCTATATTTATATTTTTTGCTTTGAAAAATTGTTGAATTGATATATGGCTTACAGGTACTTTATTGCAGTTAGACCAAGAGGTCAACACAAACACCTGCAACCCAAGGTCAAGAGTTACTAAGTGTAAACTTCCCTATCTAAACTTGTCAATTTTTTTTGAGGTAGTTACTCTTATCCAGTACTAATGAGGCAACTATATCTAGCACAGTTTTTCAATGTCAGAAGAAGCAAGATTATGTCAATATTGCAAAGATCGGCATTTAGCTTTTGTCACCCAGTGGTCCTTGTGTTCTTTAGCTAGAAAACAAGAACTGTAACATTGGCGCCCAACGGGACCTCTGCAATACTGTAAGGCGGAGTGTGTGGTGGTGCTTGGCACGTGACCGTTCGTTAATCTTCGGGATCTCTGGAAGTCACGATGATGACCCTCTTTCCACAATTACAGACATCCTCAGGATTTTTTTTACTTGTTATGCTTTACACCTAAAAACAGGCTGATTACGTCTCTATATGCTGAATACAGTAGTGTAAATTTTCAATAAAAAATAGGAGTATACATTCCTATTTTTATCAAAATAAAGTAATATTTCCGAATTTCTGAATCACTGAAAACTCTCCATTTTTTTTAAGTATTGCATTAAATAAGTAAAGAAATTCTAGAATCCATCTTCTAGAGTTTATAAGCATAATCCAATGTAAAGTTTGATTTTACTGATTTCTGAAAATTGGCCAAATATGAAATGTGAAAAATGAATAATCTGTCAATAAATAATTCATTATTATTGAATGTAACAGTACTAATGCATGAGCTTCAAAAAGAAGAAAAAAACAGCGTTGGTTGATGAGTGTAAGTAGATGTATATTTGCCTGTCAGTTAAATGTTACTGCAGTACAGGGACGTAAGATACGGAGTAATAATATACATCCCTGAGTAATATCAGAGTGAGCTTGTATAAAGGTCTTTAAGAGGTTTTTCTATGCCTGAACATGACGTTGACGTCATTGTACATGTTTTACTCGCCTCTTTGCATGTCGATCTTGAAAGTTGAACAGCGGCTCCCTTACACAGATGAAGATCAGCATCTTTCAAACCAGCTTCTTTCAGGCTTTGGTGAAGGGGAGAGTGCTGAAAGAATATTTTAAGTTTTAACTATGTAATCATCTGTAAATATTTAGTGTTACAAAAGAAGCTTACTACATGGATATGTACTTACTTCAAAAATAACATCTTCATCTTCGTCAGATACATCCATCTCCGGTTTAAGTATGTCTGTCCGTTCTTGGTTCTTATTCAACTAACCATTTCCGCTTCCGGTAAAATATTTGACTTATTAAGAATATAAAGATGACGGGTTAGACGATTTACAGCATCAGGCAGAATTGGGCAGGATAAGCCAGAATCGGAAAACATCATTTTAAAGGGAAAATGAAGATGTGTTACATAAAACAACCGTACCTGTTTTAGTAACGCAAGACCGAAAGACGATTTACAGAATCAATTGTGTATTTAAGGCATTTTATTGTTTTGGAGAAACTGTGTGTGACCTTTGACCTTTTCTTCCACAAGAAATTGATTTTTATCATTATTTTTAAAGTCAACAATGATGACATCGTCTGTGATTTTCTTTATTACAAAACTAACATACTAATTGTTTGTCTGATTAGGGACCTAAATGTTATGTAGGTCTGCAATGTATTCACAATTTACAATAGCTGTGTAAAAGAAAAACATATCACATTAAGAAGACAAATGATTGGTGCATAAATAAAGAAAATACCAATATGTAAACAGAAATTTATTTCTAACTCAAAATTCAATTTAACTGGTGTAAAATACGAACAAATATTTACAAGGAGACTCCTGAAAATACTACAGGTAGAAAAAAAGGGTGTTCCCAAAGAATAAGCGTCTCCAGCTTCATTGACGACACCAGACATGTAAATCTTGGTCGAT